AACTTCTCTTAATGGTTGAAGATGTTCCTCCTGCCTTGTCGAAGGTGGTAGTTCTCCCCTTCTGGCTCTTGTGAGCAATGGACCTTGTGAGCAGTCTCTGTCTGCTTCAATGCAAAATCAATCAGTTCAGAATAAACAGGCTTTGTTTTGGTAGTTCTGCTGTAGGGGCAGTAGCCTCCAGCAGAGGGATGAAAACAAAACAGCTCGCTTAGACCACTACAGGTGCTTCTGATGTAAGAGCTCTGAGTTTGCTTCATGAAGAGTTGTAGCCTCTTATCCTTTGTTCTTATCAACCTCAGAATATAGGAGTTATTCATTAATGGTAGTTTCTGCATGTGAGATTTTCTGGAAAAATGCTTTGCTGCTTTAAGGAAGAGCTGTTCTGAATGTGATGTGTGTGATCTTTTCTGGGTTAACACAGCCTCAGACTGAATACCTGCTTCTCCCCCCAAAAAGGTTGCATGTTTCGCCACTGTGTTCTAATTGTACTACATCTGGGTACTGGTAACTTCCATATCCCCTAAATCTCTTGAAAATTTCATTTTGATATTGGAGACTACTGCAGATCTTGTTTTGAACTGGAACATCCTGTGTTCTTTCGGGAGAAGAAAACCCAACAATTTGTTTACTATTTCATCTTGATAGTGGATGCATTTTGGTGGTGAGCTGAAAGGTGTAATCTGACATATAAAATTGTAATAGGTCTTGCTAGCGTTCTCTGGAATCAACATTGATTTCTTTGAATAGTTCAGATCAGAAAGGACCTCAAGGAGGTCTCCAGTCTAACCTTCTGCTCAAACAGGGTCAACACTGAATTCAGTCCACGTTGCTCAGGGCTTTGTTCCGTCAGGTCTTAAACCCTCCAAGGGCAAAGATTCTTTGATCTCTGGGCCTTCTCCAGGGCTTGACTACCCTCATAGGGAAGGACCTTTTCTTTATGTCAGGTCAGAGCCTCTGCTGTTTCAGTTTATGACTACTGTCTCATGTTCTCCTTCCACGTGCCTTTGTGCAGAGCCTGTTTCCATTTTCTTGATAACTTCTGTGTAAGTACTGGAAGGCTGCTACCAGCACGCCCACCCCAGCACGCCGAAAGGCCAAAGGCTTTTCTTCTCTTGGCTGAACAAGCCCAGCTACCACAGCCTCCTCTCACAGGGCATGTGCTGCAGCCCCCTGAACATCTTGGTGGCCCTCTGCTGAATGCACTCCAGTTCATCTGCATGTACTGGGGGTCCAGAACTGCACACAGTATTTCAGATGGGGCCTAAAAAGTCCCAGGTAAAAGGGAGTAATTGCTTCCCTTAATCAACTGGCTATGCTCCCGTTGATACAGCCCAGCATGCTGTTAGCCTTCATCACTGGTAGGGCGCACTGCTGACTCATGTTTAGCTTGCTGTCCCCCATGCCTTACATTTTGTGTCTATGTGTATATATACATACATGTGCATGCACACACAGCTGTTGTCTCTCATCTTCCTGCTATGCAGCTCTGAAGAGCCTCACTTTTGTGTATGTATATGTAGATATGTGTACACACACACACACACACACACACACACACACACATCGAGTTATACCTTCTGCAGCATGGAACAGTAGTTCTTCCATACTTGCCCACAAATTCCAGTTGTTGCTAGTGGTGACTGTTGACTACCTGGCCTTTCCTTACTGTCATTTCACCCATACGCTGACTGGTTGCACTTCTTGGTCAGTAGGTCTGATGCAATGCCTTGACTTTGTTTCTCAGAATTGCATTGTGTCGAGTACCTCTTTGAGATGTGATCAGGTTACTAGGATAAGAGGGAGTGGTATTGAAACGAGACTTTTCCCATGAGGATTGAGTTGAATCCTGTTTGATCAAATTCAAATCCAGAATATAAGCATATGATAACGTATAAAGAAGAAAAAATTCTGCAGGAGAAATATTCTCTGCTAACAAAGTTGCTTATTTAGAGCTTGATTCTGGTGGATTTAGTCCCAACAGAGGTTAAATACCTTTTGATATTACTGGAGATACTTGGAACAGAAATAATTTTAAAACTTGCCTTTTCTGCTTATGTAAAATATTTTCTACTTAGTATTTTTGAGTGGCACATATGTTAAGATCATAATACCTGGGCTTGTTTCAGAGAATGTTCACTGCAGGACAGGAATTTGTTGTGTTTAAGCAACATTCTTAGCTATATAAAAATAAAAGAATTTATGGAAAATTGGGAAATTTTTCCAAATTGATGTTTATAAAGTATCTGCAAGAGCACAGAACGTGTAGAAATCGATACTAAGATTCAGAGTTGTAGAACAGGAGGTGTAGCATCTGATATGTAGGAAATTTGAAGCTATGAATGGAAGCTTCATTTCCTGTGTAACTTTTAGAAACCTTAGGTTTAGTTTCTAGGGGTTTATGCTTTTTAAGAAACAGTCTTAAAGATGAAGGGGGATGATGCAATAACCCATTTTTTTTTGTGTGAGAAAGAGGCAGAATTAGTTGATGAAATAAATTTTCATTGTATACTGTGAGAAAGAAGAAGGTGGAGTTACAGGTAGTTGTGAGAGGGGAAAAATGGTTGAAACAGACAACTTTAGAAGCTGGTTGGACTTCTCATAATATAGCAGTTGTTTTTTTCAGTCATCTTTTTTTAAACTAGCTAGATGATGAGTTCTCATTCTAAGTAATATTAAAGAAAGCTGCTGATCGATAATTAATATGTGATAACCAGCAAATGTTAATTGCATATATTAGCTAGCAGATTTAGTACATCGAAGTTGAACCAAGTTGTGGGGAAAAAAAGCATGAAAAGATATATTCTGTTTTCAGCCATGTAGATGTAATACTTATCAAGAAAAAACCCTGAAAGCATAGGGAATTGGACTTCTAGAAGTTCTTGAAGGTTAGACATACTGTTGACTGAATTTTAAATCTAAAGTGGAATAGCAAAATGTGAAGTTAATTCTGCAAGTGAGACTGACTGAGCGCAATTGTAACCTCAATGTGACTGTGCGACAGTTTAAATCCTATTTGTGCTCAATGTGAACGCTGAAGTCAGGGTCAATCTGACACCTCCAAAAAATCTTGTGACATTTTGAAGTTAACTAGAACTCATCTGAAAAAAATAAGAAAAGAAAAGTTACATCTCTTAAATTTAATAATAGCTTTTTCAGCATACCCCAAAAGGTGCAAGTAGGAGCAGTGATTTGAAGCAGCGTATGGTGGCCTTTCAGCTTGTCCCAAACTTACTATTCTGCAGGTGTATCTGAATGCAGAAACAGAGAGCAAGGAAGAATGAAATAACTTAGATATTAGTGATAATTGGTTATTTAAATATCAGAAAAGACTTGAAGGTTGATAACGCCTCTGTCTAGAGTAAGTATTGATTCCATGCTTGAGAGAAAAAGTCCTGAATAACTTAATGACTAAAGATATCATTCAAGGATGCAGAAATCTCAGGAGGAAGATTTTTAGCTAGTTGCTTCAAAATGAAGCTGGATAAATCTGTTACATGCTGTCAGTGTGACTAGTAAACCATGAGTACAGTATTCAAAACTCATACAGTATCCTCTACTACTGTTGTAAAGCCCAGGAAGAATTTTTGCACTGCAAGGTGTATTTACCGTTGGCTTCTTGAATACCTACTTGAAAAGGAGGAGAGTACATGGGATGAACCAACTTTTTGATGATAATACACGGGAGGTATCCTAGCAAGACTGTGCACCCCCTCTGCAGTTAGGTTTCATCCAGCCCACCACTCCCAGCAATTGATGTGACCTGTCCTTGTTGACATGTGCACGCGCAGTTGGACTGGGTCTTGGTAGATTCAGTAGAGTGGCCATAGCTCTTTATACTGCTGTAACTGAAATTTCTAGCTAAGGAGCAGGCGTGTTAACAGAAGGACTCTTCTGCCTCTGTAATTAGTTCTACACTAGTGGCCTTTTGCTGACAGATAAGTAGAAAATTGAAGTTGGAAAAGCTCGGTATATCCATCTGCTTTCTGGTATCGTAAATACATTGAAGCTTGCACTGAACATGAGGAGGACTTTGATCAAGGCCTGCAATGCAAAACATAACATGCCTTATGTAACAAAAGAGGCACTAAACTTATAAAAGCAATTAAAGAGGTTTTTGTCGTGATTTGGCAGATTACAGGCAGATAATATTGCTCTGGCATTCTCTGTGGAGAGCTAGCTTGATCTAATTAAAAAAGAACTGGAGCTATACAGGGACAGAATTGATTAACAGAAACTGCAGAACCCTTCCATTACTTGCCCATCATGACTGATCAAATACAAAGAGTTTGTAGGGCAAGCACAGTATGGGAAAAAATTGAAACATGGTGGAGGTAACATAATCCTGATTTGCACCTTCTTCCCTTGTCAATGAACATTTCTACTTAAAATTTTGGCTTGTGAAGAAGGCTCTTCTAGCCTTATCAGGTCTGTGGAAATAATGTTTTAGAGAGATTATAATTCATCAAAGATTTTGTTCAGTCTTTTAGACACATGGTCTCGTCCAGCCTATTGGTATCAATTGAGTGTGTTTGGAGTTGTCAAGTCTAGAATAAATAGGTTGGTAAAGTGTGTTGATATTATGCAAACTGGTCTAGCTGCATGTGACACTCAAAAGTCATTATTTAAAAAAAAGAAAACACACACAACCCAAGAAAACACTTACACGTGAGCCTGACAAAGCCTAGAAAGGGATTGTGGGTTGGAGGTGCTCTTATAGACTGCTGAATCAACTTGGAGAACAGGCTGCTACTCAAAAAGGGGTTGATTGAGGGGGACGGGAGATAGGATTTACTCAAAATTACTGAAATAAAGGAAACTGCTAGATGACTGATCAGTGTCGATGCTTTGTCAGTGCTCTGGATGATCAAAAAAACTTAATTAAATTAATTAAATTAAAACTCGTGTGTCAAATGCTTGTATATAGCATGTGTGTGTGTATATATATTTTATATATCTAAATGAGGCTTATGGGATAATTATATCCCCATTATTTCTCTAATCCTAATCAGTGAGGAGGGTGTTGAAAAATGAATCTTGTTCAACAGATACAATTTCATTTATGGTCAGTGAGTCAAGAGCCTAGATTTAAGAAAGTAGATGTGGGAAACAGAATAGGAATGGGAGATTTTTCAGGGATTTATACTAGGTCCAGTGCTTTAGTATTTTCATCAGTGGCCGGGAAGAACACACAATCCACAAATTTGATCAGCTTTGATTTCATGTTAAGGTTGATGGAGCAATGAAGCATGAAGAAGGAATGCCAGCTGTACAGTGTCCTCTGAACTGTTTGATTAACTGGGTCTAATATAGCCAAAAATGCCTTTATAGAGCCTCAGTACAAAGTTACACTTCTTGCAGGGAAGACTGGAAGCTCTAGACTGAGGAAGTGTGCTTCCAGAAAGCAGTGACCTTGGAAAGGCTGGAGGGATCACAGCAGATAGACGATGGTATGTGAGCCCTCCGAGTAATGTTTTATAAATGGGGGCTACTATAAACAAACTAATTATTTTGTTAACACCAGTTTACATCCGTGATTAGATATTTAAACAGGAAGTACTGAATAGGCATACAGAGGTGAAATTGGTTCGGGAATATTTTGACCAGCTTTAATGCTAGCATTTTTAAGGAGCTCTTCGAAAGAAAGGAAGACGTTCTATAGTTCAAAATTACTTGGATGATTAAATCACTCGTTATAACACTTCTTTTAAAGTGCTCAGTTGGTTTAGCTTATCACGAGGTTTTTAAATGTTCTTGATTTTCTTTGGGCAAAATAGGCTGTGTACTAAAGGACTCTTTAATTTAGTGGAAAAAGATACGATAGCACTCAGTGTCTGGAAGGTAAAAAAGAAAAGATTATTTCAAATTAGAAAAAAGGCACAGATTGTTAACAATGAACGTGATTAGTTACTGGAGGCATTAGGAAGATGCCTGTACTTATTAAGGGAAATTAGGATGTCTCCCTCTCTTGAAGTCATAAAGATAAGATGAAATATCTTTCAAGATGCATGCATTAGTGAAACATAAGGTATTGGGTCTTGGTACAGGAGTATTTGCACGTGCCAAACAGATCTCACCCAGTTGTGCTCAGGCTAGGTCTCTCTTTTGGCCCAAACTGGAGTTAGTCAAATGATCTGATTATGATAATTGTTCATTTATAGGACCCCTTTAAATCTATTAAGTATGCATTTTCTGTTAAGGTAATAAATGCACTTATATGAGCCATGTATTTAAATGAAATCAAATGTTTGTGGCCTCTTTTATTCTGGAAGCCCTGTGATTTTTGAGGATGGGGAAGGAGAGGGATGGCTGTTTCATTTCTTGAACAAACCAGAATATCTTCCCCAGTCTTTTTCCTCAAAAATCTGATACATCTGCTAATATGCTCTTAAGAAGTCTGCTCACCAATAGTGAGAGATAAGCTTTATGTTGTGAGTGTGGGGAACTAAGTCGTTTTATTCCGCAAAAATTACTTTTTCACTGGGGGAAGAAATTGCACATGCTTGTGGTTTCAGAAGTGGTTTGGAGTGTGAATCAACACACAAGGATGCAGTGTTGTTTTGTGTCTGTACTTTACTTTGTCAGGCAATGCCAGAATGAAATTAGCATGTTTATTATTCATCAAAAAGAATGATTTCCTTTGTATCCTGTCTGCCAAAGCTGTAAAGGATGTAGAGAGAAAAAACATCCTCAGCCATTACAGAGATAAATGCTTGTAGGCTCAGTGGCCCATTGGGACAGTTGGTTCAGCTTGTTTTCCTAAGCTCCACTAGGAGTGAGATGGGAATGAGAGCGGTAGTGACAGCAGCCTGTTCTTGGTAACCATCTTTCCAGACATCTCGATCTTTTCCCCCATCACAGGACGAGCAGGTGCCCAGTCGTGTGATGGTGGAAGGGCCATGGGAAATACAGCCTTCAGAAGCTGGATGCTTTGGTTGTGGCAGATTACTACTGGATGCCCTTTTCCCCCAGCTGCTTCCTAGACTTCGGTAGGAAATGGGTGCGTACACTGTACAGTGTTTGTGCAGAAAAGATGTTGTCTCTCAGAAGCATCAGACATACCTATGTATGTTCAGCAGCTTTGGTTTTGGGGAAGGGCAAGCGGTGCAGTGCTTCTCATCACTGGAAGAGACTATCCTGCTGGAAGAGGTTGCCTCCTCTGAGCCTTTTCCAGCCAAGAGCTGCCTTTCCCCCACTACTGCTCATATTAAATTTCATCAAGAGGAGAAAGGTCTTGTATTCTCTTCTTTGCATTTTTGGGATATCCTGTGCAGTGAGACTTACAGATAAAATCCTTTTGTTGAGGGAAGTTGTTTATATTTTCATCTCTGATTTCCTTGTCTTGTAGAGCGGATTTCTCTCTCGCTCTCCTTGCTGTTATCTCATCTGAACCAATTTGCTGACAATGAGGAGACAGTAAGGAAAGGGGGCTGGAAGTTGTTGTAAATGAACAGTTTTTCTTTACTTGCCATCTTTAGGTGAGTCCATGTAGGCCTATGAATGAACAGTGATGTTCATTTAAAAAAAAAAAAAAGTCATCTTCTGGCTTCTCTTTAGTTGCTTTTATCTGCTTCTGTTCTAGGGGTGTTTCAAGGTTGAAAGCCCATCTGGCCTGGGGGAATATGCTTCAATGCAAGGCCCTAATACAGCTTGGTGTGTAGCCCTGAGATTTTGGCAAGAGCAAGGTAGCATGATGAGTTATAGTCTAGACAACATTTTTGAGCTCTGTATGGCATTCTGGATGGTGCTCAGCCTCTACAGCAGCCAAGAGTTGGGAGGGCACAAAGAAAGTTTAAGCTCTAGCTTCTTTCTCTCTTTCCTCTTGATGTTGTTGTTTTTTTTTTTTTTTTTTTTTTTTACCCCTTCTGGATAAAACGCTGCAAACTAGAATGGTTTTGAAAATAATAAATGATCCTGGTATTTCTACATCCATTACTGGGCCCTTTCAATTTTTAAATCTCATTGAATATAATTTTCTTTAAAATATGCTATATATCAATTACTTCCAAAGGAATTTCTTTAGCTTTTCAACTCTTGCTACTTTGTCTGCAACTGTTGTTATTTGGAAAAAATGCACCACGAGATCTGGAGAAGAGCAAGATGTGAAAATGAAGAAGCTGCAGTTTAGCTAACGTTTTTTTCTGATGTGTTTGTGCCTGTTAGAAGTTTCTCCTTAAACTCCCAACATATATGTTTCTTCTAGATTTCCAGAAGTTAGTAATCTTTCATTTAAACTCTACTTTTTAAAATAAAAAATTAATAAAGACTCATCTTTATTTTAAAGAAAATGGATTTTGAAGTTCTCTGATGTCTACTTCTTGAATAAAAATAATATTGATACTTCACCTTCATTTTTGAATCTACATCAACTGAATTCCATTTGTTATGTGCTAGCCAAACAAAACTCAAGTGTACTGTGTACTGGGCTTTTTGAATGCTTATACAGGTTCTAGTTTTTTGTTTTCTTTGTGGGTGGTTTTTTTGATTGTGTGTACTGTCTTACAAAATGCGAAAGCACAATAAAAAAGAATGTGGCAGAGGGGAAGAGAATGGTTTTTGGCTGTTTCTCTGTGAACCCATCAGTCTTGTGTTGCTGCTCTCCGTGAATACTGTCAGCCAGCTCAACCTCTCTCATTATTTATGGAGGGGAAGATTGAAGGGGACCAGAATTAATTATCCAGGAGTCAGGGATGAGATTTTTGGGGGAAGGGGAGAGAAGGAATGTGGAACCCAGGAAATAAGGATTCCCATTTTTTCCACTTCCTTTTATCCTCTTTGTGTTGAGTGATCTCCTCCTACATTCTACACCAGAGAGATGAATTCCTTGTGGCTGCTGAGGGCCTACCTATTCTCTCCTCACCCGTATCTTTGTCCATGACGATATTTATTATGATGCTTTAACACGTGGAAGGGGTTACCTGTGGCCTTGGCCAGAAAGCGGGGACCAGCTGTAACAGAGTTTCTGGAGTGGCATTCCATTCCTGAAAAGAGAAGGGATGAGAGAAGATTTTCAGGCCTTAATTTTATGTTAAGGATGGTTAAGTCCCCTTGAGCTATTTGGGTGAAGTTCAAGTGTTGAAAAGGGGATAGGTGGAACAAGTACAAAGCCAGTGGGGAACTCACATGAGAGGTTGGGTATACCAACGTATATTTGTGTCCGGAACTCCACAGCCTTAGGGTGCAGGGGACCCTGCTCTTGGGGGGAAGTTAATCCTGAAGTGGAGGAAGCAGTGCATGCCAAGAGCCATAGTTTCTAATCAGTCAGCAGAGCGCAGTGTGGTTTGGGAGCAGAGCAAAGGTTTCTGAGATCTAGAACAAAATAAAATCCCCAAAATCCTGCCCTAAAGAAGATCTCTGGAAAAGGCCTATGTTCCAGGACAGTTCAGGATCTCTGCTTATCCTAGGCATGATAATGTGAATCATGAAAGCATGAACATGGATTACAAAAGAAGAAAGAGAGCTGGAGAATTTGTGGTTTCTTTTATTCGGGTACTAATAATTAGTTCTTGATCTCAGGCAAGGGGATGACAGCAAAAACAAATTCCTCTTCATCAGGTTCTACAGTTCTTGGTTCCACAGTTGGTGTGGATTGCCTCATGTCCCATTGTCACTGTATAATTGTTTCTTTCTTGGGACCTATCTGAGTTCATTTAGGAGAGGAGCTGTCTTGATCAATGGAATTTCTATCAGTGCTAGTTACCAATTTTTGTAGGTCAGGGCACCTTATCTTCCTTGTCCCCAGAACAGAGCTTTATCCCTTCTTTGTCCTTTTAATGCTAGTATCCGCACCTAATTGCAAGGACCTGTTTATAGAAGCTATAATTAAATACGTTATATTGTTAATAACTTACGGGAGGAGGTCTGTTACTTTTTTGCTTTGAGCTCTGGACAGTTTTAAAGCATTTGCTATGGGGAAAGAGGTGTTTCCAGTGCACAGCAAGAGTCTCTCACTGCATGACATGGTTTATGGTACCTTTGCCCTTTGTGTGGCAATTGCATTGATTAGTTCAATTAAAAACAAAATGAACTTCAGAAGTTGATACCTCTCCACGCAGCTACAAACTGTACAGCGATGCCTTGACTAATTAAAGAAAGGGAAAAATGAGAGGGTGAAGTGTGAGAATGTTCACATCCCATCTCGGACGCACGCACCATCCTTTTGATCAGTGTTTGTAAAGAAGGTGTGTAAGCTTTGTCACAAGAACCAGCTCACTTTCTCGAATCAAAATGCTGTCTGTCCTCTCTGTAAGTGGAGCAGTATTCTGGCTGGTAAGACCATGGTTCTGTGGACAGTAGTGCCCACTCAATCCAGCCAAGCCGTGGCTGCTCGTTCCCACCCTCTGCCTGCTTTTCCCTTTGTGCCTGCACAGCTATTCATGCAACTCTGTAGCAAATTACATTTGGGAACTGAATTTTGCTTCCGGGTTATTTTTCAGCTGAATCAGTTCACTATCTAGCCATGCAAATAGTTGTGCTGGCATAATTCGGGAGTGGTGTGTTAGTGGGGAGCAGCAGCTGGCTGCAGAGCCTGCCTGAGCAGTGCTGCTGCTGAGTGGGAACCTGAGGCCTGAGAAGCTGCAGTTGACCTAAGGGAACAGGGGTAATTTAAACAAGGCCAAATGTTTATTACCCTCTGGTACCTGTAAAATCTGAAAACTGTCAGTCGCTGTCAATCTATGTCACAGTCTCTCTGAATGATGGAATTAGCATCAGGTTTTGATTGTCACTGTCTGTTTGTCGTTTTTTCTGTTTTACAAATTTCTCAAAAAATAGTCTTTGCATGTTTTATTTGTACCAGTGGCTGATGAAACCAAATGTCAAAACAGAGGTAGCATTCATAGTGCAGTGTAACTTTACAGAGGTTTTGACTGCTCTTCCACCATCACTACTTAACACTCATGTGATAAGCTTGGGGCTTCTCCTTTCCAGGAGTACTGTAGAAGTTGTATATTCCTTCCTTAGAAAAAGTATCCGCATTGTGGACTGCACCTCAGCAGCCAAACATGAACTTCCTTGCATACAAAATGTGAAAGGTCAGATTGTTTTCGCAGGGAATGAATACTTTTCTTGATGTAGGAGTAGGGGATATGGAAGCAACAAAGAATATTTTCTTATATCAAAAAGCTGTTATAAGAGTGGCCTTATCAGATAAGTTTTAAGTTTCTCATCCATAGATATCAACAACTTGAGAGAACAGGACCAAAAAACAGACCCTACAAAATCAATGCCTTTCAATGTGTTCAGTGTATGAAATGTAGTACAAGCTATAAACAGGGTAAAGCAATTGCATTAAAACTGGGTGGCAAGATGATTATTGCATACAGTAGAGATGATTTGAAGATAAAGAAGTTAGCTGCTTTTGAAATGAAATATTTGGGGGAATGTCATTACCCCAGAGGAGAACCTCTTCTGCTTTTTCCTGGATCCTGGGATGTGGCCCTGTTATCTCTAGAGGAGAATTTCCTGGGGAAGTTGATTTTTATTTTGGAAGCCCTTAACTCTGGAGCTTCTGAGACAATACGTAGTAACTAGCCAGCAGTTTTAAGCTTCTGTCCGCTGTAACTGCACATCCTGTTCTCCAGGGAATGTGAGGTAGCTAAGGCCTTTATTATGTGATCTGATTTTGTTTATTCTGTAATGCCAATTGCTAACTACTTAAAAGAAATAGAACCCAAATAATGAATACAGAACATTAAGAAAATGGTTCATCTGCTTAGTCATGCAAACTCTGTAAGAAATTCCTTTTCTCTACTCTCCCTTAAAAAATTAACAACAATCCTACCTGCTACAGCACTCCTGAAAAACAAGGAAGAAAGGATATCTTATATTTCAACTAAATCAGAACTTCTGGTCAGTGACATGCTTATTTTAACAGAACAAGATACAGAGCTGTTAGCCTCTACTGCTTCTGTGGAACCTTTTAATGAATATATGTACTGTTATTGCGACTAGAAAGAACATCCTCTAGAAAGTCTTTAATTTTTGCCATTTGCATCTTTC